CGGAGCGAGAGCCGAGGCGCCCCCGCGCACGGACGGAAGGCGGGGAAGCCGGGCGGCTGCGCGGCCCCCAGCGCCCCGGGTTTCCCGCTGCCCGCCGGCCGGGGGCCTGCGGCGGCCCGAAGCTCCGCGCCGCCCGCCACCGGCCTCGGGCCTGGCTGTGAGCACATCGGGGAATCCCCCAAGGCAGAAGGCAACTTGAATGGGTGTTTTCATCTCTGCAGCGCAGCTGGGTGACGCGAAGGTGGGGTGGGAGGAACTTGTCTAAAAATAGAGGATTGTGAAACCCCTCTAGTGCGTGCCTTCGGTAAAAAATTACTCAGGGTGAGATGGGACTACATTGCCAGCTCTGCTGCCGAGGGGTCCACAGTCATTAAAAGTACTGTAGACGGTCCCCGTGGAAAGTTAAACGTCACAGTTCTCATCCCAAGTCAGGCCTTCCCACCAAGGAGTCAGGGCACTCTTCAGAAACCTTATTTCACTCAAAGGACTTGTTGATCTGAGCTTAAATCCTTTGCCCGGTTTGGAGGAGAGATGAGTAAAGAGATGGATAACCCCCTTCTCCTCCGGTGGGCTGAAACGAATCAGAAACTTTAAAAATGTTTCTGTGAACTGTGTCCCGACCCTTTGGAGAAGTGTGCCCCGTGGAGGTGTTTAAGGCGTGTGGTTCTGCAGTAGCCTCTTTATCAGCCCTGGGGGAATCCAGACCCCAAAATCCAGTGTGACCACAGGGTTTCAGGGGAATCATCACCTAATTGTCATGGCTAATGCTTCCTGGCCATCTTGATGATCATCTCTATTTGGCTAAGGAGGAATCACACGCAGTCTCGGTGCAGCCTCTGTGCCAAGTACGTTATTTAAATGAATTCAATTTAGAGGTGGAAGTTTGTTCATAGTCTCCGTTTTAGAGAAAACCGAGGCTTAGAAAGTGAACTTGCCCAAGATCATTCGGGGAGAGAATGATGAAACCCAAGTATGTGGGTCACCAACATCAGAACCTTGGAACCTGTTGGAATTCTGACTGTCCCCTGCACCTTGTGCTCTGGTTTGCCAACCTGTCGTTTTATATTGATTATTTAAGCCTGGGAAAGTATGTGATACCGTCTTCCTATGTTTCCCCCCTTACACTGGTCTCCCCATTAAGTAACCATCTATAGAAATCTGGGATATCAAAAAACAAAGAGTGAAGAGTTAATCCAGCTAACTGGGCCCATCCGTGTAAAACAATTTAGTAATGTTTCCATCGTTAATTGTAATCTCAGTGCCCAGTAGACCACACTAAGCCTGCCTATTCCCTTTTCATGATTATTAATTTCACCATCAAACTTCTAAAGGAATCTCCTTTTTGATTTTGCATTCTAACTGTCAACCCCGTCTGTTCTGTACTCCCCAGAGTCAATCCCCTTGCAGGCACTACCAGAGCTACTGAGGACTAAGCCCTGGGAAGAAAAAAAAAACTAAGGTGCTGAAAGGAGGCTGACCAGGGGGCTCAGTAAAAAAGGAAACAAACCAGGAGAGTTCTAACAGTGTTTACAGGAAGGAGGGAAGCCTTAACTTGAGAGTTTGCCTCAGATGAACATTGAGAAATGCTTTGACAAGATGGAAATTTGGTAGTTAAGTTCACAAGAGCCATTGGGGTGGAATGCTTAGGAAAAGGGCCGATTGGGGTGGGTCGTGGGAGGGAAGGGGAAGAGGAGAAGGAGAGAGGCATATGGGCAGTTCTTGGGAGATGATTAACTACAGAAGGGAGCAGAGATGTGCGTCTCTAATTGAGGGAAGACTGGAGTCAAGGAAACTTTTGTATGTTTACTTAAGATTAGAGATGCTGCAACATGCTTGTTTGCTGAGGGCAGTGATCCAGAAGAGGGGAATTTTGTTGATCCAGGGAAAAGAAACAAAATCCTTGCCTAAGCAGGTGAAAAGCATCTGGTTAGAGTTCAAAAGGAATGGATGCTGGTCGGCTGGAACATTTAGGGTTTGGAGGACAGTCATTCTTCTGATAATACTGTGAGCATGAGTCATTATCTTCATTTCACAGAAGATAAAACCAAGATTCAGTTAATCAGTTTCCTTAAGGCCTCACCGATACTAAGTAGCAGAGTTACGATTCATCTTATTTTCCTAATTCCAAGGCTTGGGGTATTGATACTGTATGAAGAGCTCCATATATCCTTCACGTTTAGTAGAGAGGAAACTGATTCAGACCTAATTAGCTGGACTTGGATCTCAGAGTCTGGAATTTTAGGACTTGGGCTGTCACTGGGCCTCAGTTACCTTGTTTTTAAGATCGAAACGCTAATAACTGGCGGCCAGATGTGTTGTAGGAATCAAATGAAATAATACGCATGTACGCTCTTTGTAAATGGAAAAATGCTTTCTACACAAATGTAGGGTGATGATTCACATGGTCGTAGCTCAGGCTAAATAGATTCAGAAACTTGCTAGGCAGAGCTATTTTGAAACGTGTGGCAAGGGCCAGAATTCAAGCTTTTTCTTGCTTATGTAACATGACAGAGTAACTAATGTTAAACATCAAAGGGTTTGGTGTTAAAGTATCTTTGTACTTGTAGTAATAGTGAGAATCACACCACTTCAAAAATGTGTGAAAATCACTTAGGAGATGTTGGTCTGTCAACACAGGTAGGGGTGGGGGGTGATGAGAAAAGGACTGAAAGCAAAATTCTTAATGACTTTCAGGTCTAATGACAGTTCAGGTCTAAACGTCCTCTTCTTTTTCCTCCTCCTCAGTCTCATTGTCCTTCTGCATGACAGTGGACACAAAGCTCTTTGTTACACATTATATAGTGGTACAGAGAGAAAATGCAAATCAGTGACACTCACCTGCATCTCATACTTTAAAAATGACTTGATGTTGAGCATTTTATTTAGAATTTACATTGCCTGAGTAAACTACCAGATATATAAGTTATTTCAATCTGGCATTTGCTCCATTCGAAAGCAGTTTATTGCTTTGCGTGTATATATTTTAAATTAGCTGGTTTATGTTTCATTATATTACCACTGAATGATTGTTCATGCCTTTGTGTATCTGTTATGATGCTAGAAAGGATGGAGCTTAGAAAGCAATTTAGTTTGTTTCAAAATCCTTCTTTCTTTTCATAGACATTATTTTCAAGTACAGCTAAATGTTGCAAATATAATGACAGTTTTCCTTAGGGAATTGATTTAGTATCTAAACACCTTTTTAGTATTATGTAAGGTATTGTAAAATAAGTTTTGTCATAGAATCACTTGTGTCTTGAATTCATTTTTGAGTTCTATTTCTGATGGATAATGATCTGTAACATTTGGCTCCTCTGGGCTTTTGGTTAATAATGAAGTTTTTTGTTTAGTAATATACCTCAGGACAAGTGTTATTGGTTCAAATAAGGAAAATAAGATGTGAATAAATGTTGCTACTAAGCATTATTAAAACAACATTTATAATTCTTTATTCTGGACAGGTGGACAATTTATGGAGAAATTGTCTCCATGTTGGAGAAAGCCAACTATGGAGGCTTTCTTTATGGATCTTCATTATTTTAAGTTTGTTCTGGAAACTTCTTGGTGAAATTACCTTGCTTCAATATATAAATGGAATTTGACTTTTTCTCTTAGGGTAGTGATTCCACTGAAGCAACTGCCAAACCAAAGAGAAGTTTTTATGCTGCGAGGGATTTGTACAAATATCGGCACCAGTACCCAGTAAGAGTATGAAATGTTTTTTTTAAATATAAACTATTTTCCTTTTTTTTTTTTTTTTTTTATGATCCCCATAAGAAAACATGCAAGAATGGTCCTTGTGCCTTTTCTTTATTTCCATATGCTGGAGATTTATTTATTTTTTTCCTTTAGCAGAACTTCAAAGATATCCGATATCAAAATGATTTGAGCAATCTTCGTTTTTATAAGAACAAGATTCCATTTAAGCCAGATGGTGAGTAATCTGCTGCCTTGGTAAATTACAGACTTTCCTTATTAGCACGCACCTGATTACTGTTTGTTCCTCCTGTGGTTAGTACCTGTGTGGGGCATTTGCTCTCTGATTGGCTTACTTTGCTCTGCAGTCTGATGTGTTCCCCAGGTCCTGGACCCTGGAGTTGTGAGCGTCCGCCAGTAAATTCTGGAGGAAGAGCTATGGATTAGCGGCAGCTGCTTTCTACCCCCTATTTACCAGGGCTATTATTTGAAAGGTAGTAACAGCAATTTTTGTGAGAAGAAGAGAGAGAGGTTTGCAGAACCACAGAATTTTAGATTGATAAGGAACACTACAGGAGACCAAAGTCAGCTTTCGCATCATGAAGATGAGGTTACTAGGACTTCCAGCTTAAATCACCAACTTGCTGGGTCACTCAGTTGTAGAGTTGAATCTAGGTTCCAAAGTTCGCTGTGCCATGCCTGAAAATTATTTAGAATGTGATTGAAGAGTGCCGTTTGTGCTTAGAATGATCTTTCCTGTCAGTTTTCTGATTCAGGGGTCAGGAGACTACAGCAGTCCCAGTGCAGTGTCCTGGGAAGGGACCAGCAGATACTATAGATCTCCATCCCACTCTGCTGAATAATCTTGTCTCCTTCACAACTCTACAATTGCCCTTGTAGGATCTTTTCCAAACCCACAGTGAAAGGATGTAGCTGCTATGACCACAACACTGCAGATTTCACTGAGGCATCTTGCTGTGGTTCATGATAGGCTTTCTAATTTTATCCAGGTCAAACCAGCCTGCATTCCTCCTTACCGCGCATATCTGTGTGAGGTGATCAGATGGCCCTGGCTCCTGCTCTTTGCTTCAGTGGAAATGGAGCCAATTCTACAGCAGATCGGAGGAAAGATCTGAAGGCTGGATGAGCATGGGAGGCAGGGAGTCCCCCCTGCTGTGTCCTGAGAGATCAGTCAGGAGTCGAGACTTAGGAACCTTTCTAAAATAGCCAGATCCACCCGTCTTTAACTTTCTGGTTCCCTAAAAGCCAAAAGTTTGCTCTGATTTGGAGGGTGAAAAAACCTCTTGTTTTTTACTAATGAGAGAAATGTACTGTTCCTTTGCCAATGGAAAAATATTGATTATATTATTAGTTTTGTTAGGACTTGGGGTCAGAAAACCTTTTGAAGAAATGCCATGATAAATTATTCCTTTGACTTTAATTTGAATTTCATAAGATTTACCTATAGGAATGTCTTCAATATTAAAAACATTGAACCTAAAACTATGATAGAATGTAACTCTATTTCTGTGTTTCTGGTAGTGATTTATTTTTGAGGTATTAATCTAGAACAGTAAGCTCAAGCAATACATTAATATTTTTGTAATCTTTATTATAACATTTGTTTTGAAGTCTTCATTGCTATTTTTAGTTGTTTTTTTTTTTTTTTTTTTGCAGTTTTTGCCCTGGTCTGGGTTTGAACCCGCCACCTCTGGCATATGGGGCCAGCGCCCTATTCCTTTGAGCCACAGGCGCCGCCCCTGAAGTCTTACTTATGATTGGTGAGGGTCAGAAGATTTAGCTAAGGTCATATTAAATGTTTTTTATTTTATTAGATAAATTTCCCCAACTCACTTTCCTCCCAGTGTGAACACACACACATACACACTCTCCAACAACTGCCTATAAGCATAATCTTGCAATGGCATTTTTCACTTATCACATAGGAGGAGGGACAGTTGGAAGGGAAAACAAATGGAGCTACACAATTAAATGGTTTTAATATAAAAAAGCCATCAGTATGATTCAAAACAACTTCTTACCAAATCTCTCAAGAGTGGGCCTCTACTACAAACTGGTAATCTCTTGAAGGAACAAGGTCATCTCTTGAAATGAGTTGTATGTTTGCAGAGATTTTTTGGGGAAGTGTGTGTGTTTATATAACATTAAATAGCCACAGTATCAGTTCAGGAGGATTCTTAAAGACGCAAGAATCAGGAGGATTTTGTTACAGTGAGTTCTCACAGGGAATCAATGGGACATGGGGAAAGGGCTTACTTTTTGGAACCAGAGAGACCTGTGTTTTTCTTTGGGATTAACTTTTTTACTAGTGTCTGACTTTGAACAAATTACATAATTTTTTTCATTTGTAAAATGGGGGTCATTAAACTGAGAGAATTCTGGGAAGATTATGCTGAATAATATACACTGTATATTATGTGGGTCCTGTATGTAGTTTGTAATTATCAACAAATTTTAATTTCATTTTTCTCTCCTCTTTTTCCTGCCCCTTATCTTTGTTTCTCTCCTCATTTCTGTCCTTTCTCCTTACTTCTCTTTCATTTTCACCCTATCTAGTATTTAAAGAACCCTCTAACCCTTTGAGGCAGGGGTTGGCAAACTTTTCTGTGTGGGGCAGACAGTAAATGCTTTAGGCTTCAGGTCTGATTACAACTACTCAGCTCTGAGGTGCACACGTCGCTGTGGTCAGTACGTAAATAAAAGTAGCTGTGTTTCTGGAAAACTTATTGACAATGCAGCAGGCAGGCGAAAGTTTGCCAACCTCTGCTTTAGAGTACATCGTCTAACAAAACTTCCTGCGATTTGGGGTGCTGTTATGTATTTTTTTTTTAAATCAGGCATATTATATTACTGAGTATGTGGCTTTGTTCTTGTGTGCTATTATTAATTACATTTTAGAAAGTTTTAATATAAAACTTAGGTGATTCAAATCTTAAAATGCCTTCCCAGTGCTTTAAATGTCTGGTTCATTTTCTAAACGTTACTTTTTAGGTGTTTATATTGAAGAAGTTCTAAATAAATGGAAAGGAGATTATGAAAAACTGGAGCACAACCACACTTACATCCAGTGGTCAGTAACGTCTCACCTATCTTGAGCCACGTCCTATGTAATTGTGTGTTGTTTCCACACAATACTAATAGAAAACGTTTTATTATTTTTTTAAATAGGCTTTTTCCCCTGAGAGAACAAGGCTTGAACTTTTATGCTAAAGAACTAACTACATATGAAATTGAGGTAATACAAGCTCGTTTCATTTTATGTGAAAGAGGCATATGATATTGCTATTTTATTGTCCTGGGAGCTACTGAATAATTTCAGCTGACTTTTTTTTTTGCTTTTGGTTTTTTTTTTTAACATTAGGAATTCAAAAAAACAAAGGAAGCAATTCGAAGATTCCTCCTAGCTTATAAAATGATGTTAGAATTTTTTGGAATAAAACTGACTGATAAAACTGGAAATGTTGCTCGGGCTGTTAACTGGCAGGAAAGATTTCAGCATCTAAATGAGTAAGTAAAGCTCTTGTGCTAAATCAGAGGCCAGCACGGGAGTTTCCCTTGGTTGGTGTTCTCAGGAATTTGGATTTCAAAAGCCAGTCTGAAATGTATTTTATTCCCTGTTCTATATTCTGAAATAAAGCAAAACAACAACAACAAAGGATGAAATTCGAGGTGGAAACATGGCCATTGAGCTGTTTCTCCCTGAATCCTCCCTCCTGTTCACAGTCAAATACAGCCACTCTGTAGGCCACGTTTCTTAGGACTTGTTTTTATTGCCTGTATACAATTTTGTGTGTCCCCTCTGCTAGGCTGTAAGCTTCTTGGGGTACAGTCTGTTTCTTTGTTTTGTTTTTGAGATAGAGTCTCACTGTGTTGCTCTGTGTAGAGTGCTGTGGCATCATCTTAGCTCACAGCAACTCAAACTCTTGGGCCCAAGAGATTCTTTTGCCTCAGCCTCCCTAGAAGCTGGGACTATAGGTGCCTGCCATGACACCCAGCCATTTTTTTGTATTTTTAGTAGAGACAGGATCTTGCTCTTGTTCAGCCTGGTCTGAAACTCCTGAGCTCAAGCGATCCATCTGCCTCGGCCTCCCAGAGTGCCAGGATACAGACATGAGCCACTGTGCCTGGCCGGTCTATTTCTAACATTCCCAAGTTTGGTGCCTTCTTAGATTAAAATTCATGATACATAAAAATCATTTTATTAGAATGAGATATGCCTGTGCTTTTTACTAAAACAGAAAGTTACAATTATCTTCACTATTGAGGTAAAAATCAAAAACCTGTTTTTGATCCCTAAGTCCAAGAACTTATGAGGAAAAATGTAACATGGTTTATTTGGAATGTCTCACTGTATTCTTTTCTTTGAATATTTATAACTTTCGTTAAAACTAACAACCACAGTTTATTTTTCTTAATATTATCTTCATGTGCAAACTGGCTTTTTTTGTTTTCATTTTAAATTATAGGGTGACTTATGAGTGCTGGACTATAAAACCGGCAACTTTAAAGCACTTTTTAACACATTGTAATTAGCTAAACTGGGCAAGTACTAAGAGGAAAAAAAAAAATTAAAACTAACCTAAACCATTTCTCTTTAGCCAAAATAATACAAGGTTTATGCATCAAGTTAACTAATGGTTTGTGTCTTTCTAGAACTTTTATCTTGCTTTAGCAAAATGAATGTAAATATTAATGCCAAGTCTTCCTTTTATTTTATTAATTCTGATCAATATTAAAAGGGTAGCTGGTCCTAAAACACTAAAGATATGGGCATCGAGCTTTATGTTCCTGAGTAGATGACCCATTAACACACAACTGAAGTTAAATTTGATTTATACAGGGCATTTAATCCATATATAAATATATACGTCTCTCCATATGTGGGTAGATATCTCTGGGCAGAGTTTCCAGGCACTTATGTCATACTGTCAGACAAAGCTATATGGCAAAAACCTACTGACATGACGGATGGTGGCAGTAAGATGAAACCTTTGGGGAGGATCTGATGAAACCTCATCATTCACGTCCTCACGACTATCATTTTAGAAATTCTTTCTAACTCACTTGTTATTTTTGGTTGGAATAGCAAGCTTGCTTAGTAAATTTTTGTGGAACGATGAACAGAATATGATCTTAGTCTTACGTCCTGCATGGGTTTTATTGTCAGATCTTCTGATTTATAGGTGGAATTGGAGCCGTTCTGAGGCTTAATGAACTCATTTCCTGGTTTAAGTCGGGGCCGGGAGCCTGAGCTCTCCTCTGCCTCCTTTGTCCTATCCAGCCCCTTTTCTTTCCACCTCCCGTTGTCTCCCTCTTTCCTTTCCACATGTGTTGCAGAGTTTATGTAGCTGAGAACTAACTGCCTTAGAATCTATCAGAAAACACATTTCCTTTCCGTTTTGGTTGCCAGACATTTTTATTGACTAGATTGGAACAAATTATAGGGGACTCTGTGAAAACGTCTGTTCCATTTTCTTCTTTAGTTGGCTTACTTTCTGATTTATTCTTACATGTCATAATTGATTTGTGTTTTAATGCATATGGCGTCATGCGTTCTTCAAAGAAGGCAGGGAACTCAATATTTTTATAGTAATGATGCAGAGGAAAAATATTGAATCAAAGTGAAATAAAATAATATTGTGTAAACAAGCAACCATGACTAAAAGAGGTGAAATATTTTCAAACATGAGGGTACAAATGTACAACAATTGGAAATGTACAGATGCATTTCCAATTTTATTTGTACTCAGCGTGGGTTACTGAGCCATATTCTAGACGCTGGAATATCTTTTAACTTTTATTTTCTGTCTCCTGGTTCTTGCCTTTTGCGTGTTTTGTCTTTACTTAGCTAGTTGTCCTGGCAGTTTCAGCACTGTTTACTGCTCTTACTTCTGTGTACAGTCTCAGATTCTTTTTTTATCCAATGTGCAACCTCAAGGTGGCTTCTAACATGAGACAGGTTTAGCCACACTCCTCTCTCCGTTTAGTATTTCATTGTAACATTTATTTCAAATCATCCTGAACACCCAGTTGTTTTTGTTTTGCTCAATAGCCCTTTTTTCTTCAGCTCAAGTTTTAGACCCTTTATTTTGCTATGTAAATATGTCTAACCGGAGAATATAGATACAGATAAATATATACACAAATTTTAACTGGACGATTCATCTTAGATGGGTTATCTGAAATAATAATTGAACTGGTTGCAGATAAAGTAAATTTTGTTTTGTCATATTGCTCTTTTTAAAAAAAAAAAAAATTCCTCTACCTTTCCTTACATGTTTTCCCATAATGTAAAACCAGATGTGACTCAAGAGCTCTGTTGCTAAGTTTTTAGACAAACTCTACATGAATGTACTAAGCCAGTCCTGCTGTTAGTGGCACATTGTCTTAACTTTACCCATATTGTCTCAAAAGACTTTTATGGCCTATTAAATAAAACTGAGACATAATCTGTGCTGTGTTGTGCCCTTTGAGCTTCAAAGAGTTGAGTGTTAAGATAATAATTTTTTTTGTAAACATCCAGAAGGATGGAAATGATAAAAACTTGTCAGGCTTATCTTTTCATTGTTGGTTTAGCATGAATCATTAAGGTTTTCATTTTACCCAAACAAACTTTCTCTTTACAATGTAAGGTCATGGAACCATCCCCCTTCCATTTCTTAAATAATTTATCAACATCTTTTTCCACCCTTCCAAATAATTTGCTTCTTGTTCCTAAGTAAAAACTCAAAGCACTTTTGGGACCTAGGGTAAGTATAGGCAATGGTTGTAGAAAATTCAGAGCATGAGATACAGAAAGGTTTCAACAGGTTAGAAATAAGTGATGGTCATGATCGGGTGGAAATACTGGGTAAGTAAATACCTGGGTCGTTGATAACACTCATGGCTAATATACGTAGTTGAAAATTCCTTTAGAATTTAGTCAGGCATATATAATAAGGCAACATTTGGGCTGAGTGAGGTTGGGAAGATAAATTATGGATTGTGACAAAACAAATTTGGAAAGCATTCATCTGATTATGGCCTTAGCTTTAAGACAGAAGATGTTAGTGCAATCTGAGGACAAATAACATCTTTGGACTCAAGGCCATTAGAAATAAGATTTAAAATTATCTTCTAGGGAAAGAGGAGTAGAGAATGACCAAGGACGGAAGAGAATTCAGTTATTAAGTTTGAATAGGTACCAATGTGTTGGTCCTTAATGCTAAATCTTTAAAATAATAATAATGGTAATAGTAATCTTTCAATAGTTTCTAGTATTTATTGAGTTCCACTCACCCTTTGTGTATATCATCTCATTTGATTACCACAACAGTCCAGGAAGTTGTGGTCCATTTTTCCCTTTTTACCGTGAAGGATGCTGAGACTTGGAGAGACATCATAGTTTCCCTTAGCTGCTGGTGACAGATAAGGGTCTGCCCACTCGCTTAATTGTTAAACTATGCTCTGCAAAATAAGTCAGGACTGGATTCTTTGTCAGAATCATTGTAACAGAGCAGAGTGGTTTTTGCTGCAAATTTCCCTGTGAATTGGCTTCTGTAGTAGATTTTGCTGATCAGCTGACACTATAAATTGTACCGTACAGCTGTTGGCCAGTGTTTTTATGTGCACACTGGTCACCTAGAGGAGCACGATACCTTAGTGTTGTTGCAAATAAGTCCTCAGGTAGAGGATTGGTCCTCGGTGTGTTTAATGAACAGTAACAGTGGTAATGAATTTAAATCTCAATATTTTTCTAATGTGAAGAGCTAAACAAACCAGGGGAGTTTATATCTTTGAGTTTCACATGGGAGGACGTAACAAGGAGGCAGAAGGGTCTAACACCTTTAGATTTATTCTTCTTAGTGGTGTCTAATAGCACCTTTAAAAAAAGTCATTACAAGGTGTATTTCCTTGGCTTACAGTTGCTTAAAAAATGTTTTTCCAGTATATTCTCCTGCTTCTTTCTATCTGTATTTCTTTCCCCCTTATTTTATTCAATCCTCTCTTCCAGGTCACAGCACAACTACTTACGAATCACCCGTATTCTTAAAAGCCTTGGTGAGCTTGGATATGAAAGTTTTAAATCTCCTCTTGTAAAATTTATTCTTCACGAGGCTCTTGTAGAAAATACGATCCCTAATATCAAGCAGAGTGCTCTGGAGTACTTTGTTTATACAATTAGGGACAGACGAGAAAGGAGAAAGCTCCTGCGGTTTGCCCAGAAACATTACACACCGACAGAGAATTTTATCTGGGGACCACCCAGAAAAGAACAGTCCGAGGGAAGCAAGGCCCAGAAGGTGCCTGCCCCTCTGGCCTCCAGTCACAGCAGTCAAACTTCTCTGCATAAAAAATCCAAGGACTCCAAAACTTCCTCCTCCGCTGTTCACTTAAATAACAAAACAGTTGAAGAAAAAAAAGTGGCACCAAAGGAGTCCGGGGAAGAGACAGAAAGGCCCAACCCAGAGCCCAGCAATGAAGACGCCAAGCCGAGAAACACAGAGGACAGCGATGCGGAAGCTTTGAGTTCTCAACCTGAAAAAACAGTCCCTCATCCCACCGAAGAAAAGGAGAGTGCACCTCCTATTGAAAAAGATGAAGAAGGTGAAAGTCACAGCAGAGACCCTGAAGCTTCTGGAAATACAAGTTGTCATGATGTTACAGTATTACAGTGACTTCTCAGCAAACCCACAGGCCAGTTTAGGTAAGGGAGGAAACAGTGACTGTATAATTTATCCTAGAGAACAAAGATGAGGTCCGTTCCGATTTTACCCATCGGTGTGTGATTAATGTCGTACGCATTTTGTTGTCATTTGCTTTTTATTTTGGATGACAGTGAACTGAATATTTCAGTAAGAAGTTTTAAGATAAGACCCAATAAATGAATGTATTCTGTAATGCTTTTAGGATGTGAGTTTTCAAATTTTGTTTACAATTTTAAATTTTGTCAAAGTTTCCATCTAGAATGAATCATGTGGTATTCTGTACATCAGATTTGTTCTTTCGTGAGATTATAGTCTACGTGAAAAAAATCAAGAGGATAATTTCATTGGATTGCCACACCTTTCACTGATTGATGGATTCATTTTTTAAGCTGAAAAGAATTTGGTCTTTTCAAATGTATTCAGAAAGTAATTGGGGTTCTTCATTGTAATACTTCAATGTGTTTATTTTAGACTCTGATAAATGAACCAGTGTCCTTGGGAGCTTTGACCTCCCAGCTCCTCTGTCCCGCTGACTTAGCTCCTTCCCTCTCTTCAGGCTCAGCCTTTAGCTGCCATATTTTCTGGCTAGCATGTGCGTCTCTAGTACGGTCCACTCTCCATATCTGTGGGTTCTGCATCTGTGGATCCAACCAGCCACAGATCAAAAATACTTTTTGAAAAATGGCTGGTTGCATCTGTCCTGAACATGGACAGACTATTTCTTGTCATAATTCCCTAAACAATGTGGTATGACAGCTATTTACATAGCACTTACGTGGTACGTATTAGGTATTATAAGAAATCTAGAGATGATTTAAGGTATGCAGGAGGATACGTGTAGGTCATATGCAAATCCCACACTGTTTAACATAAGGGACTGGAGCATACCCTGAAGCCAACCCCCACAGATACCAAGAAAGGACTATATCCATTAGGGTGATTTTGTATGTTGATATCTAAATGGAACAGAGCGAGATTTTTAACTGTATGATTTCATAAATTTGCTTTGTTTAAATTACTAAAAAGGGTTTTCAGTATGAAGTGCTTAAAAACAGAATTTGATGGCAGAAATCCACAAAAAGAACTTTGCTTTCCGTGGCTCTTCCATACAAATTGGATGGTTGATTTTGACCGCAAATGCCTGAAGCACTAAAAAGTAAGAAAGGAAATTATTTATTTCAAAAAGATAGGCCTCTTGCACTGTTAAAAAGCAGTAGTCACTTAAACCGTGAACATCTCAGTGTTATGTGGATTATGAAATATGTAATGTTGCTTAGTCCAGAGCTATGTTTGTTTTTTTTTAAATATAAAGTTTGATGCATCCGTAAGTTGTGAGACTTGGAAAGTGAGAACAAATTTGAAATTATATGCACTCAGTTCTTATAAGCAGTCAATATGTTATATAACACTGGTTAAGAACAAATTGTATTTCCTATATTATGATTATTACTCAGAAAACAATCAGAAATACTGTGATGAGCATTTCCAAGCAGACCTACAAATATAAACCTGTGAATTTAGAAAGGAATTGACTTTTTTGGCTCTCTCAGGATTTTAAGAAAAGTTTTATTCACTTTAAACCCCCTCAGAGAATCTGTAATGTATCCTGCTTCATATCACGTGTCATCATACGCTGTCTCTACTGCTCTACATTGGCTGCAGTGGAGTCCTAGAAAATCATCACGCCGAAGCTATGCCTTTAGAAATATGATTTTACTGCTCTGAAGTTTACAGGAATCGTCTCAGTTCTGTAACCTAACTTTTGTATGAATCTTAGTAGCACTCGTGTTGTACGTATTTCAGTAAGTATTGTAGGGAACATTCTCTCATTTTTAGTTCCCATAATATGCCCATTTTGCTTTGTTTCATGTAGTCAGTATTAGGATTTTAGGAAATAATCTGATTTTACATTTCAATTTCTATTTACATGTAAGAAATACAGGGGCCCTCTTATGTGGTGCTTGGTCTAGAAATGTTCCATAGCGGTCAATAAACAGTTTGACAGGGTGGATGAAAATAGATCGTCAAATTTGACTGAATTATAGGAATGCAGTTAGTTTAATTCAAACCATCTTACCAATTTGCCATTCATAATAAAGTGTTCAGACCAGGCCACTTTCTAAATACGAAATATTAAACATTTGTGACCAGAAATTAAAATACTAATAAACAGTTACCAGATACTAAAATAAATGAATATCATCTGAAGTACTTAGAAATTATAAAAATATCAGAGTCCTTAAAAGTAAAAACATTCAACAATTTAACTTTTAGAATACGATTTTTTTTGAGGACAGTTTATTGAGTTATAATTTACACATAGTAAAATCCACCTATATTATGTATATATGTATATAGACCTAAGAGTTTTGTTTTATTTTTTCAACAAAACTCTTTTTATTATTCATTATTATTTCCAGACCTTCTTTTGTCTTTATTTCAATTGCATTCTTTTTTTAAAAATACACAACTAATATTTATAAGTAAAATTAGAAGATAATTTCAAAAAACAGATCATGCCAAATCTTATAGACAATAGAAAAAGAAGAAATAGTTCAAATTCATTCTACTTCATCAGGATATACCTGACATTAAAATTGGAAAAATATTATTATAAAGGGAAATTACAGACACATTTCACTTATAAATGAGGATGCAATATCCCAAACATATTAACAAGTTTAATTAAAAATTATTTGTTGAAATAATGTACTTTGGTCAAAATTAAATCCTACTTATGTAAGAATTAGTCACTATTTTCTTTTCTTTTCTTTTTTTTCTTTTCCTTTCCTTTCCTTATTATTCTTAAGCAGGGGCTTTGATTAATGCATACTATTTTATTTGAGAATATTTAGTCTCAAGGGGAAAGCTGCCTGGCTTCCATATTAAATAGTGGCCTTTTTCCACTATGGTGTTTTTAAAATGTATAGTCACAGGTTAACAGTATGTTCCTAAATTTAATCTGTAAATAACTTATGAAAGAATCATTCAGTGGCGGACAAGTCAGAGGTGTCATTCCTTTTTGCAGATAAAAATTGAGTGTCTAGAATTTTTTTCTATCAAGAATAATTTGTACACTTAATAGTTTTTTAAATAAGATCTATAGATATGTATTTATGTGTGTCTTATATATGAAAAAATTCCATGGGTTTGACTCCAGTGTTTTATATTTTTACAAACCACCATATGCTTGCACAAATATACCAAGAAGCTGTTCTAAAAAATGCAGTAAAGCATGACCAAATAGCTAGAAACATTATTGAAAATCTTTGCAAATATATAGTACTTATTGTTGTACCATAGAGTGCAAAGTAATAAATATTGGCTGTTGATAAAATATTAACTTGCATTTCATGGCAGATAGATGTTATATCACTTGATTAGTCTAGTGCATTTCTAATATTTTGTGCTTTCCTATATCAAAGGAGATAATATATGTGAAAATATTTTGGAATCCTGTATGGTGATATATACTTATAAGATATATTTCTGTAGAGTAGAGAAAAAGTTTATAACATTAAAACTTGTGCCATGATACATTTTCATGCTCAGTCTCATAAGAAATTAACAAGAATCGTGATACAAGTGAGAATATATTTTGCTTTCTCTAAATCAAGTCTAGTTGTCAGTTCAAAAATTATGTTGTATAGTTTTATTTGTTTCATTTTGAATTTAACTAATGTTACCAGCTTCAAGGAGGAAATAAAATCTATGACTCAGGTGTTACTAGGGAAGCTCTAAGATTTTTTTGCAAAGCATTGAAAATATACACATATGAAAATGCCGTACCACCTGTCATAGTGATTATGTTTCATATTTTGTTTTGCAAAATTCCCTACCCTGCTTCTAGCTTTTAGATTTAAATACAAGTGAAAGTATGATGTGGTGAAAAAGGAAAAATACTATAGTGTTAGATGGAGTTAGTCTTTGAAAAATCATTTTAGTAAATAAACTTCAACATCGACTGGCCAAAAGTAGGGTAACTAAGAGAGAATATTTCATTTATTGTTTAATTTCTAGGTTTATAGTAGAATTATGGCTGAGTTTTAATCTGCTAAGTAACTAAATCAAGTATTTTTTTTTTTTAATGTAATAGAGGTTCTTTAAAAAGCTTTATTTTCTAACCTAAGAAAAGAAGGGTATTCTTGACCTTGCTTGGCTGTAATTGCATGTATAGGTCTCCAATGTCTATTTGGGGTGAGAGGAGATGCCTTGATGTAGGAATGTTTTTGATGATTTCTATTTAGTTTCTCACTTATTAAATTTCACTTTCTCTTTCTGGGTGTAGGTGTTAAATACAAGGTAGGCTGCTGTTAGACATGCGAGAGTCATTTCAAATGTAGGTGCAGTTGTAGAGAAAGGTGGCCTGAGTATTGACTAAGGGCTAGAAAATGAGGACTATACAAGCAGCTCTGAATTCTGCACTGTTGATTACAGGCACAGATTTGTTTGGGCCATCTCTAGGATGACAGTGAGTACTTGCCTGCTTCTCCCACATTCTGGTTGTCCAGTCCACCCAGCAGACTGTGTTCAGGGACAGACTGTGTTTTTAGAAATCTCTTATTACTGAAATTAATAGTAGTATACTTATAAATATGAATGCCTGGAGGTGTCCAGATGTGCCTTAATGAATGCAAATGGTTTTCATTCAGAAGTTTACATTTTTAATCCAGTGTGTAAAATCTTGTCATAAGGAACTTTCTAAACTGTGAATGTCACTTCTTTTAATGTAATTTACTTTGGTGCTTTATCATTTTGGAGAAATTTGCTGTTTGGAACAATAGCATCAATTCATAAAGAAGTGTGTTCAGTATTCAACAATGTTTTATATTTGCCAAGAAGGGTTAAGAGTAAGGAAGATGAACTGTGTTGTTTGTTACGTTTATTCATGCTTTTTCTTAGTTTCTCTGCATGCTGTAACTTTCATTTTAAACATTGCTTAGTTACCACACAGAATATTTGTCTGTGTTTTACTTCTGGTTCTTAGACGCAGATAGGTGCAGAAAATGGAATTATATTAGAGAAATTATTAAAGTTAAATTCCAGTAGAAGGTCAGAGGAATCTGAAATTAATTTTTAAAATCTTTTGTGCCGTAGCTTATTAGACACATTTAAAAAGCACTGTTCCTGCTTTTTTCCTAGATTAGAGAAAGTGTTCTTTGTCATCTTTTTTCTGCTGTGACATTTACTGTT